GGTTGGATTCAGATGTATGTCACGGGGAGGGGTGATAACCGAAGACAAGCTGCTGTCGTCGCAGACCTTGCAAGCTTGTAGGAAGCCCGAAGCGAAGTCCGGCAAGGCCATCTGCGACCAGGGACTTTTGGGCTCCAAGCTCGATGTCGTCGGCGTGGTCGATATGTCCACCGACGCAGAGCATCTCGGCTGTCTCCTGTGTCACATTGGGTCACACATAGACTTTCCGATTCCTTCATGATGGGCCAGCCCAGAGCCCAGCTGGATGGGACATAAGGTACTTCGCTTACCAGATGAAGTATGCCGCGCTCCGAGTATTTCAGCAGATGCAAGACGCCTTCATTCTCGTGACTCGTGATCCCTCGTGTGCCCGTGCCGTCACATGTGGGATGCGCAGCCTGGTGCCCAGGACACTGTGCATGGCCAGTTCAAGCACGACGTCAAGATCGGGGAGAAGGACGAGCTGATCGTGAACGGAAACAAGATCAAGCAACTTGGCAGCGTTGTCCTGCTGAGCCTGGCGCTGCAGTAGCAGTAGCAATGGTCGCAGGTGCATCCAGGCCAGCCGCGAAGGCCCCAAGGCTTTGCCTTGGAAGGAGCCTTTGCTCTTGAAGCCCTCGAGACAGACAAGCCTGACATCTTGAAGTCTTGACAGGACATGGGAGTTAAGTACGTCATCGAGTCCACTGGCCTTTTCGTGGAGTACGAGTGGCTCGTCGACACACTTTCGGTTCACGGAGTGTTGCCGGGCGCTGCGTTTGTTCCCTGCCCTAGCGGCTGTTGGCGGCTGCTAGCGGGTTCGCTCCGAGGAAGGCCGTCGGTCACATCGAGGCAGGTGCAGAGAAGGTGATCATCTCGGCCCCGGGCAAGGGCAACCTGAGCCTTGGGATTCAATAACAGATGATGTGCATTGCTGACCAACATCCATTGTCTATTGTTCGGACCGTCCTCGCCGTCACCGTCGAAGTAATGGTTGGAATCCAGTTTTTAGCGGTCGTAGCCGCATTCGGTGTCTTAAATATGAGCAGTACTGTTTGTTTCATTTCATCGACGGATACTGGTAGACTGCTCGACGTTGAAAACAAGTTGTTGTCATGCTAGTGGCAATCGTCGTTGCCGTTCCAGGAGAGTTGTACTGAGAGTGCTGGAAACTGTCTTTGTCGTTGGCACTTCATGGCTGTACGGCTTCGCACGAGCTAAGCCCGCAGGCTAGGCCTCCACTGTATGGGGCCTGGAGGCTTTCTTTGGCCCGATAGACAGTTTTGAGATTGTTGCGGCACTGGAAAAGGCTTTGCACGGCCGCGGGTGCTGCAATGCAATCCTGTATAGAGGTCGCCCACCGTGCAGTGGAGGTCACAAAGGTATACCGTACCGGCATATGTACCTTTCCGGACTATAGCCCTGCCACCGTCTCGCAGTGAGTTCAGGACATGTGTTCGGCAGGCGAGAACCTAGGTTCATAGTTTCCACTCGCCTCGGACACAGGCGTGTAAGTTGCGAGAGATGTAGCAGGAGCGCATGCGACTCCGGGATAGCCTGCTGAAGCATCTTTGCACGTGTGCCAGTCTTGGGGTCATGAACTGATGGCTGCGAGCCGATCGTTATACAACTCGCCCAGGCGCTGGACATGGAGATGTCTTGGCGCTTTATGTCTGGATATGTTATAAAGTCTATCTATCCATGCTCAGTTGTCAGAATCGGAGGAGTCGGCTCGTCTTCCTCATCTTTGTTCTGAGCTTGCACGCCGTATCGGTTGCGTTAAGCTACTGTTACTGGTGTCTGCGGGCCGAGGAAGACGCTGGTCTGCGGCGTGAACCACACGGAGTACGACAAGGCCGCCCATTCTTTTCTTGACTTGCTGTCGCCCAGCGCCATCTGATGTGGAAATTCTTACTTGTTGATTCCATTGGTGTGGCATCGTTCTTCTGCTGCATCTAGCTCTGGGGCATTCTGGGGCAG